ATAAGCCTGAATTATTGCTCTCCTAAGCCGTATGAATGTTTTTTTTATTCAATGCCAATATCAGGAATAAATAAAGAACACTCTTTATAAGTTTTTATTTTTTATCTTCATTTGTAGTTTGTTTACGAAGGCCCTATTGATGTCATTTTGCGTAGTTAATGTGGCCCTAAAGTCCTGCTAAATTTCTTGTAGACAGCTAAAGTCGTATTGAAGTTATAACATGTTTTGTGATTTTCGAAAAAAAACATGTGAGGACCCAAACATTAAGCCTGGAACGGGCATGTTACGATCAACTGAAATATATGGGTATTTACGAGTTTTCAGTACCTAATTAAATTGACAAAGTTTGGCGATCTCCAGATTGAAAACCCTCCAATTCTGAGATTTTTTAAATAATTGTAGGTTAGTTGTAGGTTTTGCTTAAATGAATCTATTTACAAAGTTTCAGGCGGATGTTAATAATTTGATTAAAAAAAAAAGGGTCTGTACCATGGGTTCTAATAATTGTCCGATTTCGATCATTTTTTGTTTTGATTTTGAAATATATTTATATATAATTATTTATTTTTACTATTATTTTTTGACTGATCACCGCAACAATTCTCCTCTTCACAAAAAGTATGATTGGACTACTTTCAATTAAAATTTTTTTTTCTGTCTCTGAACAACTATGCTCCGGTTCGAATCCGGTCTAGGTGGATTGAAATTTATTTATTATCGGACCCACGAAAAGAATGTCGACCTCCTCACTCTGTTTAGAGTATGCTTAGTTGTACCTCTAGAATTATACCCTTCCTCCGTATGCCAGAAATGGTTAAGTAAGAGGAAAGCGAAAGAAGAAAAAAATGTGTAACCTTCTAAATATATAAGGTAAGCGGCCACGTTTCACACCCGTGAAGAACAGTAGAAGCGAACTGTGTAATTCAGCGACTAGGAAATTACAAGCGTTTTCCGTCTTTGCCATAATTTTATTTCTTCGTGAATTACTTTTCTTTTACATGCCGTAATATCGAGGTGCTTAAATTTCTGTATGTCTGTTGTTCCTATATCGCCGAACTAATCTCCATTTCTATTAATTATCTGTGTATTTTGTTTTTTGGTTCGTTACTTTGGTATGCCATTTTTTCAAAAGTAAAAACTTATGGAAACGGTTTAATTACTTTTAAACTACTCAGAATAAATATTATCAGATTTTATGATATGATATGCTTAACTTATTAATTTGTTATTTTTGTTGTCAATAAGAATGTTATACAACTTTATATTTATATAATAACTCAACCTCGAAATAGTACGCTAAGAAAAGGAAAAAAAAAATAGTTCTCTTAAATCACTAAAGGGAAAATAATAATTTTACTTACAAAAGTATATTATTAATCATAATAATAATAAAGTCTTGGCCTTTTGTATTGTTTCTTTTTTTTAAGCTAATTTATTAATACATTTTTTTTTATTTATTCATGATATTTACAACAGTATAAATTTAAAAATATATCCAGTAAACGTGCACACAGTAATAATACAATCACATGAAAACTCTTGTTGAGAAACTATCCATTGGTAGCACTGTACTAATATATTTACGTAGTTAGATCACGAGACCATCTCCTTTCCAGGCGTCTTGGAGAGTTATCAGGTATCGAAGAAGAGGCAAGGTTTGTAACGAGAGGGTTCGGATGGTTTTGAAGTTTGTTATGGAAGGATAGATATCTGCATTGGGCCATATCAGAAACATATGATACGTTAAGGTCGTTATGCATAATTTTGTTCGTGACAAAGTAGGAGCATTGAGGATTTTACGAAGGATTTTGGATTGTAATGATTGGATACGAGAGGAATTCGATAGTTTAGTGGAGCCCCAAAACTCAATTTCGTAAGTCCAAAGTGTTCTTTTATAGTCATGTACATGAGTCTTTTGTAAACAACAGCAAAATAATAATACTTAAAGTAAATGTACCTGTCGTACCTAACCTTGCTTCCTCTTCGATTCGTGTTAACCCTTCGAGGTGTCTGAAAAGAAGATAGCTTTGGGACCTTCTAATATAGAACTATAATTGGAGTGCTACCAATGGTTAGTTTCTGTTTGTTTTGCACATATATTACTAATTCAAATTTACTAGTTGTATTTGTATCTAATACGCTTGTAAATTCTGTAAATAAATGTATTAATAAAAAAATTGAAGACTGGAAAATTATTTAATTTAGGAATTGAGGATTCGAAAGAAGGTGATAGAGGTCGTGACATATTCGCTCAACCAAGGGCTTAACCATTCTTCAGTTCCAGGATTATATTGTGAAATGGTTTTCTCCCTAAATCCGCGGCGTGTATCCTTGTGGTATTGATATTTATTTTTTTTATTATTATTATTTTTTTTAAACTATCAGACTAATCTATAATTTATAACGTATTGTATATATTGGGTCGGCGCGTAAATTCTATGAAGTGCGTTATAATCACATTGGTGCCATAATTAAAAACGCTACAGATTATTGCACAATGGTTTATCATTTCCAAACAGTAATGTATCATATGTAACAACTTTAAGCAATTACACTTGCTCTGGTATGTTGCATGTTTTCACCCTTGTTCCTTAGTCCGAAAATTCGTAACTCCGTCAAAAATTCAAAAACCTATCCAAAAATGCCCCCTCAAAAATTTTGATGGCACAACTTGCACCATGAAACCCACTTCCCCCTTCTGGACAGCCTACTTCAGTTGATGTAAGAATTTCCAAAAATTAAAAAAAAAAAAACATCAGGTTTGGAGCTGAACGTGTGGAGAATATTTAGAAAAACATATCTTTGTACTAAATCGCTCGATTTCTACGATGTTATTTTTGTTGTTTTAGGAAATTTCGTAAACTTTTTTTCCAGCTTCTTTTCGGTGAAGTATGCTATATACATAAATTTGAAGGGCTTTGAGAAGAAGGCTTTGGACAGGTTTCATTGAAAATCAGAACATCCCAGTAGGCGCTGACATTATTTAATGCAAATTTTAGAGGCATTTTTTTGAATATTTATAACATTTATATTAAAAAAATGAGAGTATGCCGACCTGTAAAAATGGTGGGTGATTTAAAGAATATTAGCAAAGTAAGTTAAACATCGAAAATATGGGAAACGTTTTTTTTTTTTTAACTTGTGTATATGGATTCAAATTAGTAAAACCGAAATTTCTAAACCGAGCAACCAGGTGAAAACTTTTTACAACCGAAATAGCCATATTTTTCGCTTTTTTTACATATATTTTTGAAAGTCATATTTTTTCTCGAGTTTGAGTTTAAATTATCTTAGGATTACAAGTGGAAAACAAATGGGTATTTACGAGTTTTTATTACTTAATTAATTAAATAGACAAAGTTTGCCGACCTCCGGACTGAAAGCGCCCCGATTCCGAGAATTTTCGTAAATGTAATATTTATAGGTTATGATGAGATGAAGCTATTCAGTAGTTCCAGCTGAATATGAATAATATGATAAAAAAAGGGGTCTGTACCAAGGACTATAATAATTTAGTTAAGTGATATGGTAGAAAACTATGGTCAACGAACACTGATTTCTTTTTTTCTTAAACAGACAAATTATTCTAAATGGCTCTGTACCTTTGAAAGTTCTATAAGAGGAAATACAAATAGAATCAAAGTTGTAGAGCATCATATTCTGCGACATCTGGATACCATCAGTTTTATTGTAGGTCACTTACTCCGCCTCTCCCCATGGCTGGAAATCGGTAATGCAGTTATATATGATTTTCAATATTCCAATAGTATAAGTGTCTATTCTACTGAGTTATTCTTGTTTAGTGTCTACTACATTCAGTGTAGGCCTCTTTTCCAGCCCTCAGCACCGAAGGATTTGCGAAACTAATCTAGATCTGATAGGCATAATTAACCTTCATTGAGAATGTCGATACTCAGTGTATGCAGAATTTGATGCTCCACAATTTTGATTCTATGAGTTTTTTATTTTGTATCTTGAAACAAAATCTAAAATTTTGAGAGGGGTTAACTTTTTTTCTTGGTCGATTACAAAGATTAATTATTGAAAATAATAAACCAATAGGTACATAAAAATAATTTATAATAAAGTTAAATTATAAATATTATTGACATATTATTTATTTACATTAATGCAATTACATAAAGTAATTTCTTCTCGGTGGTACATATTTTTATTATTAAATAAAAGAAAATCAATAATTTAATGTTCATATTGCCAGTAAATAGATCAATTTACTTACTGTCCTCTGAAAGATTCCTTTCTGTTTGTCACTTGGACTCTTTATCTTGAACATCCCTATCTTATAATATGACATCTGACGTAAAAACTTTGAATATATTATAAAGAACAATTGACAGTTTAACGTCAGCTGACAAAAGATTCCATAGCTTTAGTTTTGATCCTATGGACAACAAAAGCCCGAAATTTGAAATTAATAAAGAATGGTCTAAAAATATATAATATGAAGACTTAATTAATTTTTCTTTTTTTTTTTTTTTTTTAATTTCTTTATTGAGTATTATAACAATCTATCTGTTGGACATTGGTTATAGTGAGGTAGGATGACATTCACACCATATGTACAAAAAAACAAAATAAATAGAACAAAATAATAATCAAAAGTATATACAATAGACAATAAAATAAAATAACCTAAAAAATAAGAAAATTAAAACTAAGAAAAAAGAAAAAAAAAACACATGCATACCTATATACAATCAGGCGAGGGAACTCCAGGAGAACCCTGCGTTACTCTCCCAACCGCGTCACTGGTACTAAAGCCAGCGGAGATTGGTCGAGAGCACTTACAAAAAAAAAAATTACCATAAAAATGACTTATGAGCCTTCATATAGAATAAAACTTAGGGGAAAAATAATATTATTTTAAACCAATCTAATTTGAATTTAAGTAATCATTAATTAAAATTTTGTGTCATTCATTATACAATAATATTTCAATTTTCAACATTGATTTTGATTTTTGGTATATTTGTTTACAGATCCAACCGATGGAACCTGGCCAGGGTTGTTCACCATTGCTCTACGATGATTCAACAACGAATTGTTCAAATGGAGACAAGGCTCTTCGTCAGATAGTCAGACACAAGCTTTTAACATTTCCGACATACCATCCAAATATAAATGAAATAGTTATGAGAAAAAGTACAATAAATTGTTTCAATGTTTTCTTTTATATATATATATATATATATGTAAAAAATAAACTATTAGTCCGTATGGTACAATCATATAAATGATGCCATTTAATTGTGTCAATTGCTATAGACAAAGTGCTAAGAATGTGCCAATTTGTTTTACTGATGGAAGTCTCAAGACTTACATGTCTGTCAATTATTATAAAGATTGTCTTTATTTTGCCATTGTTATTTTGGAAGAAAGCCATGTTTTATTTGATTTTTTTATATAATTAATCTGATTTTTTTTTCAAATTGTTCTTTATAATATATTCAAAGTTTAAATAAAAATAAAATATTAAAAAAAGTTAGTGATAATGTAAAAGGCTCAAACTAGCAATTAATTTTAAGTTAATTTTTTTTTGTTTGTTTTTTAAAAGAACCCATTATTATTTAAATTATTAGGAGGATATTACACCGAAACTTTCTTCTTCATTTTTCTTTTTATTAATTGAATATGAATTGTATAAGCTCAAAGTTACAATTTTTATTTTCTAAATAAATTAGGCTCATTTCAACTAAATTTAATTAGTTCTGTAAATAGAATTGCAACAATATTTTGTACAAATTAATTATATTATTCTAGGTGATATTAATGGGGTGTATATTATTATAAATTAAGAGATATAGTACATTTTATTTGAAGGCTTACTGTGCAGGGATGTCGTTTAGATTTTCTTTTTATTGTTATCATTTTATTGCTTTAGATCAATGTAACTTAGAAAATGGATGTAAAATATTTCCTAGTAGAAAATAAAAATATTTAGGACAAGGCACTAGGAATAACTTTCCTTTCTGCTAGGAAATAATATAGGTATCAATGTTTAAAAGAAAAAAATAATTAAGTAGTAAAATGTACCGTTGTGTTTAGTATAGAAAATAGTTGACGGGGCATATTGCTCTATGTACTTATGCTCTAAACGAAATTGTTTAATTAAATGTTGAATTTTTAAATTATATTTGTTTGTAAAAGTTTATATATTGAAAAGCACATTGTGATCTTTTCTCTTTCTGATGTTAAAATATTACATTGATGTGAAGGAAAGAGTGTTTAGGTGAATGCATAGAATTATTGCTGGCGTAGCATGGCAGTAGTTGTGCTGCTCTTGGCTGATAAATAAAAAAAAAATTTATATATATGTATTCATATACATGTATATAAATATTATGTGTTTAGACTAAGTAAAACAAAATAAGTGTATTAAGTGCCAATTTAATTTAGTCTATTGTATCTAGTGTCACCCTGACCTAAAAGAATTACTAACCACCATCAACGATTTATTTTCAAGATGAAAAGAAACTTCTTTTTAATGGAGCCCTAAGAAGTATATTATTTTTTTCATCAATAAATTTTTTTATTCAAATGATTAATTTTCTTTACGTCACGAATTGAAAATCATACATAATAAAAATGAATATCATTTATTCAGCGACTCATATCACTTTAAAATTTGATATGGGATTGAAGGCTGAAATAAAATAAATTCCTGGAAGGCATTTGTCATCGTATCTTCATTTTTGAACACAGTACAATTGGTCCGAAGGTTGATATGATAAAGAACTTACATTTCTAAACCTTTGCAAGTTCAATCTCAAAATTGGATATTACTATTTTTTTTTACATGAATTGGCCCATAGTTACTCTTCAAAATTAATGTACTAATTACCATAATTAAAATAGAATTTCTTTCTTTTTTTTTTACTAATATTTAAGATCATGCCCAAAACTAATATTTCATATTTTACTAAGAGATAATTCTGATAACATAAGCTGGGTTTGAAAAATTTCATATAATGAAATTTATATTTACAGTTTCATAAAATAAGTAGAGAAATATTAAATTTGAATTGTCTTTGCCAGGTTCTTAAGAATTTCTTATTAGAGCTGACCATTTGAAGAAGTTTCAAAGTTGTTCTAAATCTTATAAATATAGATAATGATTTTGATTTGATCCTCTAGGGTTAAACTAGCAGTCTCCGATTACCCCATAAATGTTCCCACTCTTAGTCAAATATTTTTGGAATGGCCACTTTTTAAAAGATGCTCAAGTACGATAATGATTATATTTAAAAAAAAAAAAAAAGAATAAGAAGTTTATTGTACCAACTTTATTTTTGCACCCGGAAGGGAGAATATGATGTATTTATAAGAAAAATTATTGCGGCTATTTTAGATTGTAATCTTAAATGATTCTGCTGAATAATGTAACTGTTGTCGTGCCTTACTTTGAAAACTAGCTGTAGTTTAATTGTCGCCGACAGTTTCTAAGAAAAAAAAAAAGTCCTCATGGTCCTGTGAAAACTCTTCCCAAATCGAAGTAGTTAGTACATTGGTCTATCTGTCTTACTCGTTCTGTGTCTTACATGTTTCTAAATACAACTAATATATTTCGACAGTGTTAAAAAAAAAAAAAATTTGACACTTTATTTTACTTGTAGTTGATCTTACACTACGTAATGAACAATGGTACTTAAAACTTTATTTAACTTTAATGGTTGTAATTAATAGGAATGACTTTTGTTCAAGAAGTCATTTCGGTTTCTTCCTTAAACTGTTGTATGTTGTAGGTGTTCCTCGAGTGGAAAAAAAAAAAAAAATTAAAAAGGAGGAACAAATCATCTTAAATTTATAATGTGATTTTATGTGCCATATATTTGAGTGGCTGTTTCTATTATAAATAAAATGATAAATTACTGTTTCAATTATGAATGAAAATTAAAAGAATTTGAATTTAAAATATTTTTAAAAAAATCTATCATTCAAGTATAGGTTGAAGAATTATTATTTTGTGGTTTTGTTCATTATCATTTGGTTTCTATCATTCAGACTATAAAAATTATTTTATTTCGACCAAGATAATAATAAAAAAAATATGAAAAATGTTTCATTTAATGGAGGCAGGGGTAGCAATTTTTTTTTGTGTTTTTTTTTTCTAGGTTGCTGATGTGTATAGATTATGTATATAGTACGTAAGTCTGTTATTGCTTCAGAGTTAGATGTAAGCTAAAATGTATTATATGGAAGTATATTAATAAATTGTGTACATTGATGTAATTTGTTGTTTTGATTTATTACATCTCCCAGCATTAGAATCATTTTCTATACAAAGTAAGAGAAACCACTCATCAAATTAAATTTTTTGGCACGTGTAATTAAAAATAGAATAAGATAAATTTTGACAAAAATAATGTGAAAAAAGATTCTTCTAATGAAATAAACAAAATTAAAATAATAAGTTCCCAGTTCGTCTCACACTAAATAATTAATAAATTACAAAAGAAAAATTAGCACATAAAAACACACTAGAAAATTTTTAATACACACACGTAATTACTTGTCTCATCTTAGTTTATTTTTATCATCCACCAGGTAGGTAATTCAATTATTATATTAATTTAGAAACCGAGGAGTGAATCTTAAGGAGTAAGCTTATGTCGCTGCAATTTAAAATGATGCGTGGCATGGGCATCACACAACTTTAATTTACTATTTTACTTAAATAACAAAATGTCTGCTCAAATAGTTAATATTTAATTGTTTAAGTATATTATCTTGACTAAATTTATTAAAAGGATATTACCATATGTTCTATAATCTCGGAAACACTTTTGGATATTAATTTTGCTACAATGTTGTTTCTGTGGAATTTTCATATCATTAAACATAAAATTTCAAAAAAAAATTCAATCCAAAATAAAAAATTATTAGTATTTATTTCAATTATCTTACATTTTATCATTACTCAAAGGCAATAAAAAATATTCTTTTGAAGGAGTACGAATAGCTTTGCTAATTAGCTATAGATTTAAATATAGGGCCTTCAGAAAAAAATTAATCGCTTCCTTAAACAATATGACTGTTAATGGTGTTATCACTATTAATAAGAACTACAGTTTTATATTATCAAGGCAAAATTTATATCTTGAAACCCAAAAGTTAGTTCCAAAATAAGTTAAAGATATTTTTGTTAAAATCTATCTTAAAATGAAGAATATAAAATTAAAACACTTTATTTCCCATAAATAACATCCTTATTCTCATCCCTGCTGTCAGCTAGCTATAGGAAATTCTAAATCAAACACTGTCAACTACTGGTACATCAAAACTAATCTCTAAATTCGCAATTATTAAAAATAGAGCAGAATATTTCATTGATTTTAAACGTGTCTTGACAAGGTGTGAAGTAGTTCTATCAGATGAATCCAAGAAAAATATAATAACAATGGATCTTACTATTCCAAAGGATCAAATCCTGGAGTACTATATGCTAAATTTATAAAAGTCAAGGTTATTTTTTTATTGCCTAGATATTATTTTTTTAAATTTATTATTTATTTATTTAAACTTTTAATTTTTATTTGGACAGCGATTTATTATATATTTAGCCTTTTATTATTATTATTATTTATTTTGGTTTTTCTACATTATTATCTGTTATGTATATAATACAGTATCTAAGGAGAAATGGATTTTTGACAGAAAAAGTTTCAAAAGATAGATAATTTTATAGAGAAGTTTCAAATCTTAATTTTGATTGTTAAATTTGTATTGTAATTTTAATAACAGTGATTCAAATGTTTATTTTATATTAATACTTTGCGGAAGTACGTTTGCTGATTAAAACGATTTATAGCGGTTTTCAAAGATTTTTAGGTGGATAGCAAGACCCATTCGGGAACGCTACTTAAAAAATTCCCTAAAATTTACTTTTGTCGAGATGGACCATAATTCTTGCCGATAGCCTCGTAGTTGCAATGGTTTCCATAGGATAATTATAATATGTTTTTACCCTATATTACCCCATTTATACATGTTTTTACTGGCACTCTTCCTACATCTAGAGTCTCCTACTGCTCAAACCCGTAATCCACTACCAGAAAATAAGATCCCATGTTTCCAACCTTTATATTCCTTCCCATTGAACTAAAACATATGAACATTCCTTCATTGTCTGATCCACTGCTTCTTGTAATTCCTTACCATCTGATATCCGACATGCCTCTTCCTTGTCCTCATTCAAATATCATCTCTACCAATTCCTTCTCAAATCCCAAAATGGCGTTGCACAATCATAAAATAAATTTTAATTAAAGTGAAAAAATGTTGAAATTGTTTTAATTTTAAGAATCAACTCATAGTGTTTGTAACATTTTGTTTTTTATTTTCCATGATTTCTTGTTTTATTTTTTTCATTTCATTAATTTTTTTTTTTCAAAATGTTTGTATATTTTCACTGAAGACATTGTATGGATATATCCTTTAATTTTTATTAATGTAGTTTTTGACCAGATGTGGTTTTTGTTTTTTGTTCATAATTGTTATTCTTAAGGGACATTGCCCCAGAATAAAGTTTATTTTCTATTCTATTCTATTCGAACATCAAGATTTCATTTTTTACACCGAAAAGTTCAAATAAATTTCCTTAAGGATATCAGGTACTGGTGCTTTTATCCTAAATAAGAATATCCCTGGAAATCTATGCAGGTTAGAGCAAATTAGCGAATAAAAACAGAAATTGAAAATATTAAAAAAAAATAAAGTCCGGTTCTCTGAATTCTTTTTTCCTCTTCCACTTGTTTAAAGACGATCTGAATAAGATTCCCTCCTTGTTGGCGGAAGTAGCTCAATTAGAGGATGTCCCCCGAATCGAGGGGAAGTTCTGTCAACATGTTCCCATCATCTAATTCGATTTCCTCTCCTTCTTAAAATATTAAAATATTTCCCTCTTATTACTTGGACCACATCCTTCGACCTTTTCTTAATTCTCAGGAGGGTGCCCTCGATCAACGAGGTTAGGATTTTAAGGGAAAAAAAAAGTTTGGTCGTCGGGAACCATTTATTTTATTATTCAATGTGATTTCATTTCTTTTTCTTTTTTTTTTACCTCCCAATTACCTAAGGTAATAGGTCGAGAATTTTTTTTTCAAGATCTGACTACTTTACCCGTTTTAGAATTTTACGAGTTCTTTTCCATGAAAATGTCTAATGAACTACAGTGAAGAAGTTTCCTTTCCAATATTTTTTCTGAGATGTTCAATTAAACTATTAAAAATCATTCATGGATTGTTTTGCTGAAGTCGATATTTGATATATCGACAGCCAGGTTCATTGGCAGAACATGATTATTCGAAAATGCAATATAATGTTATCAAGATTATCTATTCAGTACACACAACTGGGACGCTGCATCCTTTAGCATGATTGTTAAATTAAAAATTTAAATAATAATACAGTTAAGGAATAAGACACAGCTTTCTCCGAACTTATACTAACTTGTTTCTCCTTTAGTTAATTATAAAATTCTTTTATATTTAAATATTTTTGTATCAAAGATTAGTATGAAATTGTTAATTATTTCAAATAAAAACAATTATAGGTACTTTAGAAGAAGCTAGTATTGAAAAATTAGCTATTTGAGCCCTGTTATAGAACATAAAGGATAATAAAACCTACATTATATTAAAAACTGCTTAATAAAATAATACATTGATATAATTAGTATAATCAAAATCGTTGGAGTCGTTTTTGAGAAAATTGTAAAAATGTGTGTAACCGTTGATATAAAGTGCCACTTCCGGTTTGCCGATTTTTAAGAAAAGATTACTGTAATATCTAAGTCTTATTTCAATTTCACTTCCATACAACTTATCGTTTTTAAGCTGGACTCACATACATACACAGACACACACACGCACTTACAGACCATTTCATCGTAGTTGGATGAATTTAAAATTCAAATTCGAAAATTTTCAAGATTGCAATACTGTCCCTTACTATATATTTCATATATAGGTAATTGGAATTAAAAAATCATCATAGAAAGGGATATTAACAATGTTTCAATTGACTTCAAAAATAATTCATTTATTTAATGTTTATTTAGCAGCGCATGCGTTACAACTTACTGCTGCAAATTCGGATTTAATGAAATTTTGTTGAATTCCGAAATTATATTTTCAAGAAATTTAGCAAATATTATTTTCTAAAATCTTGTAAATATTTGGATAAGTTCCCAAACTCATCGATTGAATCACCGGGAGCTCAACAGCTCCATTCTGTATGTAACCCCAGTGATGTTATATCTCAAATTACTTTACATATTTATATTATATTTACTACCTATCTATATGGCCAAGTTCCTAAACTCAGCTGTTGGCTCATCGATGGCATCGGATCGTATCTAAACTGGTTGAAACAACGCCATCGATGAGCTGAGTGCAGAGTTTAGAAACATGGTCTTTTTTGGTATATCTGGTTGGGTATTAAGCTATTCGGTATTGTTAAAATTCTCCTTTTTGTAAACATTATGGTTTAATGTTCTTATGTTGCAAAGAGTACTCGGTTATAATGACAGTAAAACATTAACTAGTCGACTGCATTAAATTCAATAACATACTCCATAAAGTTATCAGGAAATATCAGAGAGTTCCTAGAAGATAATGAAAAAATAATTGGAAAAATTATGATTATTTTGAAAATTAGCGGTATGTACCAAAGAATATAGGAGGAAACAAACAGCATAGCGCCAATGACCCTATGGGGTAGAGGCGAAATCAAATAAATAACGTTGTTACTCAATTTCACTATATTCATTTATTTTTTTCGTATTTAAACTCTATAAAAAAATTAATCTAAATAATTATATAAATCTAAATAAAAACTATAGATATCATATAAATTTTTAATAATAATAATAAAAGGCTTAGTGAACCCGAAGGTTCGATGCCGACACCACCAATCCCTATAATATTTTTAATAAATGTCTTAAATTGTTTTTAGATCTTGTGAATTGATTTTTACGATATTCAGATCCGAACACTACTTACCCCTGAAGACGTCCTACTAAAAAAATAAGAGAATCATTTTTTTCATTGGCCATTATTTGTTTCTATGAATGATCTGAGCCATAATTAGTGTTGCCAAAATGCGAGACCGAGACGAGACATGGTCTTGGTTTTGCGCAAGATTCTCGCAACAGTCTTTCAGTTACTTATCAGCTTATTACTATAGAGATATTACTGTAATTTTTTAGATAGGAGAGACCTAACTAAGTCCG